GAGGAGCAGAGCACCCCCGTCAGGGGGCAGGACATCAGCCTCAGGCTGATCGTGCACAGCAACAGCACGGTCACCCGGAAGATGACGGTCAACATCAACGCCGACTCCATGTGCTACAATGGGGTTTGTGCGGAGGACTTCTGGAGCGAGAACAGGGACGTGGAGGTGCAGCCACATAAAGGTGATCACATGGTGTAGGGTTCCGTCTAGCGATGCACAACTCAACAGGAATCTACTGCTTATATCTGATATTCCACAGTCCTGTAGTTCAGTTAGATCCTAATGAATGTGACAGAGGGATGAACTATGTTGTAAAAAGACCTGCCTGGCTGAGGGAATGGCCGCCTATCTGAGAGAATGAGGCTGCCCCCCTCCTCACTATCGCGAGGAATGAGCCAGGGAGCTGCTGCAGGAGTGGAGATGGGGGGGGGAGGGGGTTGAAGGTTTGGGAGAGAGAGAGATGCGTGAAGGGAAGTCCTGGGCACGAGACGTATATACGAGGCGAGTGGAAGTGAGCCAGATTAGGATCAGTCCTGTTATAAACTCCATATTCCGAGGGAACGTTTGCAGTGAGGGTGTGGTAGGGCATCCCATAACTTTAACTTAATTATAACATAGATTTTCATTTGAGTTGTCAGCACGGAATTAACCTTGACTTTTAACTTGACAGAAGGCATTAGTTGTGCACGTGAGACATCAGACTGGGGTAGCAGAACATTAAACTCCCTAGAAATTAATTAAATTAAACTATCACTGCACACAGGCTTTACAAAAATGAAGAGTCATTTCAAATAGTTTCAGCATCAGAGCATCATGGAATTAAAAGGCATTTGGCATAATGACGTACTGAAAATTCCTCACGCGTGGTGCATATATTCTTTCGGAAAGAAAGCTGACCCGAAGCTCAAGTCTTTGAGAAGGGTCTGTCTCTCTCAGAACCGAGAATTTCCACCACCGCTGTCCATACTCGTGGTGCTTTCAAGTCCACGTGTCAAAGTTCCAGCTCCTGGAAGTTGTTTTGGGAGCTGTGAACATTAACTAACATGAAAAGACCCTGAAACAGCAGGAGGAGGGGAGATGCTGACTTGATTTCTGCCTTTGCTCTCGCAGAGGTAAAGATTTCAATCCTGATCCCCTACTCCAAGTACAAAGATCACGTACTGGAGAGCAAGACCATGAGGGTGGAGGCCCTGACCAAGCCACCCTGGAGCAGCAAAGGGTTCCACACCTCCAAGAACGTGATCCTGTCGAGCCCGGCCCTCAGCCTGCAGGTAAGTCAATGAGCCAGGGAGCTGCTACTGGCCTGGTCCTGGGTCTTCACTGGGTCTTGGCAAGACTGGTCAGTCCCAGAAACCACAGCTCCTTTCAGAAACTCTGGCCCCACCTCCGAGCTCAAATTGCTTCTGTATTGTACCATGAGGAACTGAACAGCGTGGCATTTAGTTAGCTCCTCAGACTCCACTGGTGTTCAGAACTAATGGCAACACTTTAGACTGAGCTGTTCAAATATTTTTAACAAATATTGTATCAAACAGCAATTTACCACCAACTGACGGTGAGACGGTGACATTCATGATGACCCTGTCCTGTCTAAGGATGCCTTTAAAATTTCTAGAGAACCTAATTAATGTTATTTAATGAATCTAGTTAACTTGACTTGTGGCCAAACTAATACTCAACACATCAGTCCAGCTACAGGGTATAACTTCCTCCCTGTGTAAACTGTTCACACTGTAATGTAGTGCAGACTTTACAGAGCACAAATTTCTTTCTAAATTAAAAATATAAAACTGAAAAGGAAAGACTGCTTATTAAGTTCATGTGTCATTTTTCCTTCCAGGTGTTTGGAATGCCTTTCCTGTTTGCCGACATGGAGGCTGAGGTGGTGATGGAGAACCCACTGGACGAGCCTCTCACAGACTGTGTACTCACCTTGACAGGACCTGGGCTGCTGAGAAGCCCCCGTGTGTCACGGTAAGGCCAAGCGGTCAATCGGTCAATCGGTCAATTTTTTTCCTCTATTATTTCCTCTACCTCCCTTCACAACACTTCGCCACAGGTCTGTAGTGCAGTTGACAATAAAACTGCAGTGGATCATGTAGACACAGTGGAGAGGTCAACAAAAAAAAACAACCCAGTGGGAGGAAAGCAACCTCTGGGGGTCCCCAAGTCCCATGGTTGTCTCTCCTCCAGTCTCTGCAACACTGGGATCCACTCAGGTATTTGGAAAATAAAAGCTGGGAAAGTGTGTTACAGTACCTGTAACTCTGGAAGAACACAATTACGTTATACAACATCCTCTGACCTTTGGGAGCCATATTAGAAGTATGGGCCATGGAAACCGGAGGCCATAGAAGAGTTTCAATGGTCTTTATTGCATTTCATAAGTAATGTTAGAAGAAAAGAAACTTGAAGACGTTCCAACTAAGCAACTGGTTGGTTCAGCCAAGCATTGCTTGAAGTAAAGAGCTCAGCAGCAATCAGAACCAGCAGACATGTGGGGGTCCCCATAGCCAGGATTGGACACCCCTGATATTTGAAACTTCTGTAGGAGGAAGAGTTGTCAATTTTGGTGTTAATTGGAATATTGTCAGCATCTCAGACATGTTTGGTCACACCTGCACTTTTTGTGGAGTGGCCTGTTCGTATCTGAGTAATTCTTCTATTTCTTTGAAAGATTTGAATGTGTTGTCTGAAAAAACCCTGTCTCTAGATTGTCTTGCATGCAACTTCTCCCTAGGGCGCAGTTCATTCCAGGCTCATTACCTGCAGTTGTTTTAGTTTCCGTGAAGACTCTTCACCTTAAAAATGAATTGTGAAAGGTGCTCTTGTTAGCTCCAGGGAACTAGAACTGACACCTGTCATGTCATGGCAGTTGGCTCCTGACTCATCTGACTTCGAGTGAACTCTGTTTTGTGCCTTGTATGTGTGTGTGGGTAGAGTTGTCCCTGCTGACTCGCGCTTGTCTGTCATTTCAGGGTGGCCAATATCGGTCCAAAAACAGTGATGAGAGCACAGATCTCATTCGAGCCATTCAAAATGGGCAAGATGGTGCTGGTGGCCAACTTTAAGTGCAACCTCTTCAAGGATATCAAGGCCTACAGCACTGTAAATGTCGTGTTCTGAGGGCGTGAATGTCCTGAGTTTCTCCTCTCTCCCTGCTGCAGCCTTCGTCTATCTTATCAAAGTCCAGGGGCAAACAGTCAGAGAGGAGGGTCAGTGTCCTGGCCTGGATTGATCAGTTTACTCCTGTGCTCAAACCCCTCTGTTGTTCAGCAGACTCTGAATCGATTTCAAATCAGCTACGATAATTTGTAACGTTCTTCATAGACTTTATAAATATTTTGTATTTTATGTTCTAGAGGAACTAATTCTGTATGTTTCTGATTGGACCCTATACATTGTCAGAATACACAAAGTTGTTGCCAAAAATTCCCCTTGAGTTGCCCAGGGCTGCTGTACTTGGGCTCCTGGCCTATGATGTTAGCAATACTGAAACCTTCTTTCGTTTACTGCTCATATATACCATATTATATGCTGCCTGGAGTATAATACGCTTTGATTTTCATGTTTTGTAAATTGTTTTGGGCTGCTTTTATGTTCATCCTGGTTTGAACCTTATTAGGTTCCTTCCAGGAATGTTAATTGTCTTTGGAAATGAAATGCCTGAGTTAAATCTCTGGTTCCAGAAGTTTGAAAAAAGAAGTGACAATTTTTGTATACTAAATGTGTTTTATAAATGTTATCAAAAAGATAAAACATGGCAAGCTCTCTAGCTACAGCAAAATATCACATAACTTTGTGGTTAGTGTCTGCAGTACATAAAGAGTAAATTATGTGGGATATGTTCAGGTCCACAGTATTGTGAATTTACTGGTGCAGGTCTCAACTTGTAAAATTATAAAGAAAGTTTTTTTCTTCGGTCCTGAAATCTTCCAAAGGCAGATGTCAAATTAAGCGATGAATCTTGTTCCTATAACCACAAAAATGATTGAATTCCAAATTCTATTTATGAAAAAATTGTGCATATCGGTTTTATGCTGCTTACAGAATTGTTCTAGGGTCTTGTGAAGGAATGGGAGTACTTTACTTTTGGAATAACTGTTCAGTCAACCAGTCAAGATACTTTCTTGTTCTTGTTAAATGGTGATGGGGGAAAAAAATGCACTCATTAAAATTAATGAAAAATTGAAATTGTTTGTCTTGTAATCTCCATTGTTTTTATAACAATCTTTTCCTGTTGTTCGACAAGACTTAACTTGCACAGAAGGGGATTTCTAGGGCAAACTCTCAGAATGCCTGTTGAACACTGCAGTTACGTTGTTCATCATCTGAATAACAAGTGTTCTCATTCCAACTGCAAATTCCTAAAGTGATTAGGCAAGAGACCGGCACTCTCAAAATCATTAGACTCACCTCCGCCTACAGACACGTCTACAGAGACTAATCACCTGCAGGGGAGGGACAGATGAAGGCTGATATCCAGACACCTACCTCACAATATCCAGGACTTTCTTCAAGACTGAGGCCAGGCTCGTCGCCTGGAATGACAAAATATGGTATTCTGCAAATAATCCCGTTCATTTGTCTGCATGAACAAGGAGAATGCATACATTTTTGCCAGTTCAACCAATAAACCTTAGAAATGGCGACTCATTTTCCCACAAGGATAAATAAAAGACAATAATTTAACGACTCTTTTTATTCTTATAACAGTAGTTCAGATGGGTAGGTGTTTTAGCATGCACAGGCTGCAAAGGTACAAGTAAGAGAACACATCATTTTGGCTGTGGAGCCCAGGTGACCTCTTGTACCTCCAGCAACCTCATTTACTGTATCTCTTGCAGGAAATGCCCAGCTGTCTATGTTGGAGAAATAGGAAGGAGACTCAAAGACTGCTTCAGAGAACATGTTAGGGCTGTGAGGATTAAAGATTTCTCCAAGCCCACTGTTTTTCATTTCACCTCAAACGGCCATGACCACTCTAATCTCTCCGTCTGTGTTCTCAAAGAAAGGTTTCTCAACTCCCACAGCAGAAAGACATCAGAAACAAAAAATATCCTGAAATTATCCTCACACCTTCCCCCTTCTCTCAATGACAGACTTGTTTTTGTGTAATCATATCTATTCACATGCAGGTTTCGACTTCAGCCCTCTCTTCACCCCTCTTCACTTGGCACCACCTGAGTGGCCTCTCTGCCTCTCCCCTGCTCCCTTCTCCTCCTCTCTCCCAGCTTTTGTTCTCATGTGCTCTTTAATCTTTGCTGTCTGCCCTGTCTTTCTCACACGCGAAGAAGGCTCCACAGCTGAAATGTGTTTCTTTCTCTTTTCAGCAGGGAATAAACCTATTACTTGTTCCTTATTCTTATAACTATGATTTACTTTGATTTTTGTGGAGTGGAATAACATATTATTGCTCTTGATTGCAATGTTTAAATTACATTTTCACAGACCACTAAATAAACAAAATTATATTGTGATATTTATTGAGCTTGACACCTGTGACAAAAGGATAATGTGAGTTAAAATCATGTGAGCCTTTACAGCAACTGTTAATTCATTCATGAGCAGGTTCCTTTGGTATTCAATCAAACCTGTGTGGTGGCTTTTCAGTATCCTTTCCTGGATGCTGACTGCCCAGCAATGTGAGAGGGGCTGGGCTTCACGAGATAAATAGAACCCCACACACTGAGAGGAGCATCTCGCTCCTGAACGAAGCAGCTGATTGTTGAGGTTGACTCTGGAGGAAGACTAAGAAGACTATGAGCTTGTGCACCATGGCTTTGGGTGAGTCATCAATAAAATATTGGATTGAAACATTTCAAGACAGTTTAGTCCATTTCTCTATTGGTTAGTCTTGGTATCTTACAATGTTGCAATCTGTGCAATGGGCACACGTGTTCTGTAAGTGTCAGAGGGAGAGGAGAGCGGGGAGACAATGCAGGCTGCAATTTTGACCTTTCACCTCTACTAGGGGTCAGCATCTCCATCTCTTTTAAAAAAAGGTGAAAGGTGAGTTCTGGATAAAGGTATAGAGCTCACACGGCACAGAAGGACTGCAAAAGACGGTTTGAAATGGAGTCACAGCATTTCCTCCCATCTCTAATACTGACTGACGTCATGACAGCAGACAAGAACAGCTGGAGCAGATTTCCTGTAAACCAGTTAAAAGCCCTCCTGAAGTAATAAAAGGGTTAAAGTAGGTCTTTAAATGGTAATAAATAATTAACTGACTCTTTGGGAGAGTTTTCCAGCCACCGTCATCATAGAGCTGTCTCCTGAAACCAACAAAACAGATACACGAAACATCTAAAGTCTGAAAGCCATCCTGTTTAACAAGTTTTTTAAGGACCCTGAATAGAAAACATTGCTAATGAGCCTGCTTTCAGCACAAACAGATACACAAAACATCTAAAGTCTGAAAGCCATCCTGTTTAACAAGTTTTTTAAGGACCCTGAATAGAAAACATTGCTAATGAGCCTGCTTTCAGTGCTGCCTACTTCCCTCAATGAATGGGCTAGACAGGCGTGGAAGCTGACAGATTTTAATCACTCATCACAGGTTGTTAGGAAACTGGCTGCAATCTGCTAATCATGAGAAAATTCCTAAAGGGTCCTAAAGACTCAGATTTCCAACTGTCTTTGGAGGTTCAATTGAAGTCAATGTTATTATCACATCTTCTTTAAACAATATCAACAACTTCATTATTTAGATTTAACATATAGCTCTTTAATCCTTACTTGTTTATTGATTAAAAGTTCAGAACAGGGTCAAATTCATTACCAATATTTCTTTATGCAGTTGTATGAGGGTAGTAAGTCTAGGCATAAATATTGTCTGAACTACATTCCCCAAAATGCAGAGGGCAATGAGCTGCCGCCCTCAGTCACCTGACCAGTTGCTGGAAGACAATTGGTCAGGTGACAGTTTAAAAAGGAGGAAGCTAGGTGTTCCTGAGCAGGTTATGTTGCATCTGCTTTCTGGAGTACAGAGGATAGATCCTATATGGTCAAAATTCACCAGTGGGAAGGGAGAAGGGATATGTCTAACCAAGGGATAAAGAAATCTGTGAGTTGTGGAAGAGTCTTCAAGAGCCTTGAGACCATGTTTTGGAATTCTGAGAGTGAGCCCTGTTGATTTGGAAGCCAGTTAGCATCTTAGCTACCTTATTATATTAGTCACTGGCTTAGGAGATGTTTTGGTTTGGTTTCTGTTTTGTTTGTACTTTCCCTGTACTCTAAATAAGAGTATTTGGAACTCACGATTGTGTTTTGTATGTGTTTCCCTGGGTTCTGCTGATCTTGAAGATCTTTGGTCACCTCAACCTGGGTGCTGAACAGCCTAACTCTAGAGATTACTCTAATTGTGATCTCTAGGTGTTTAGCTTCTATTTAAGCCCTGATCCAGGCCTGTTCTTTCTATACTTAAATTGGAACATTTTGTCCTAACAAGGAAATTGCCTGTGGAATTCTGTGCCATCTAAGACTACTAAAAAGTATTTTGTAGACTAAGTAAAGAACTCAGGATTTTAATATGTCCTTAGGTTAAATTTCTGCCACACCTATATCAGGAGTGTGTTAAAAATGCCCTTATTCAGCCCTCAAAAGCACAAATTGAGTGGAGAGGTCCTCTTACACCAAGTTATAAAACGTTTAACTCGGGAGCACTTAGCCACTATGATAAAAAGGCTGTGGCCTTCTGCCCTGCTGTGACTGCTGCCGGGCCGAACCCAGAGAAAGTGATTTGGAGTCTCTCATCTCCCCCTGCAGCTGTGACTCAGAAGGACTTCCACTGCGATGTGAACAACAGCGCTCACCACACCAACAGGTTCTCCAAGGACAGGCTCATAGTGAGACGAGGGCAGGACTTCCTCCTCTCCGTGTCCTTTAAC